AATTATTTTCAATAGTTTATCTTGAATTAAAAAATTCAAAACACATAAAAATCGATACTTAATATTTTGTTTTAATTTTTGACAGCTAAAACATAATTTTAGCGCTTGCCAATTAATTTATATAATTTTTTGAAAAATAGCATGTTATATAGCAAAGTATTACTGCAACACCCAATAGTCTTGAAAAGTCTTTGTAATAAAATATTTTAAATAATATGCAAAGAGATAAAATTATAGTTAAACTTTAAGCTGTTTGGGAACCATCGGTTACACTCATTTTTATATATTTGTATTGAATATACGCCGGTGAAAACCCGTTTAGAATTGTTTTATCAATTCAAGTATTTTTAAAAACTGCCCTCAACCTCTCCTTAAAGTCAACCGGAATGGCCAGGGAGAGTAAAACAATGAAATTCAGAACTATTGTTTTCCATAATACAAATACACAATAGTGATCTATGGTATATAGCCTAGTATTGTATTTATATTAAACGAGATGACCCGCGACGTAGCATACGCCGCTATCTAGTTGTTTTATTTTCTACTTATTAACAATTCATAAATTGTGAATTCGACACTACCCCACCCCCCTGACTCCCCCACCCCGCCCAGTGAAAGACAATGGAAATATCAAGAAGAACTTATCTACCCTTAGTTTCCAATCGTTTAAAAACTAAATTATCTGCCCCTAATAGCCGTTCACTGTCTTATTCGAACAGACTCTACTATTGTAAACATTCGGGTGAACCACAGCTCACTTGACATGTGGGAATGAGGGTGGTGGCTAAGCTGCGTGGTGTTTTCTATGATCTCCATGGAGAGAATTATATATATACGAGCCGACCCGAGGCGTATCATATGCCTCTATTTATTTTATTTTCTACTTTTCAGGAAATTATAATTTGTGAATTTGACAGTACCAATGCTGCCACTGAAAATATTTGCTTTAAAACACTATCAGTAGGTCGTTAAAAACGATAACCCAACTATTATATTACTAGAAATTATGTTGTGACTATTTTTAGCCTTAATAAAACCGGGATCTTACTCAACCGCGAAAGTTGAGTTAGAAGAATTGATGAGATGATGATAGAGAAACTGGCACATGTTGAGATATAAGCAAAACCTGCACAAAAAGATGTTTGTTGTATTTTTAACCGTCAAAGTGTAATCTGAGAAAACGCTAAAAGTCAACTTTGTATGTGTGTGTGTGAAAGATAGCGATATATATATATATATATATATATATATATATATATATATATATATATATATATATATATATATATATATATATATATATATATATATACAGAGAGAGAGAGAGAGAGAGTATGTGTGTGTGAAAGTGTGTGTATGTGCAGGGGCGTAGCGAGGGGGGGGCGAGGGGTGCGGACCGCACCGGGTGACACCATTTAGGGGGGTGACACCAAGGCAAAAAATAGAAAAATATATAGAGAAAAACTCGAGGGGGGTGCAAATCGAAAGTTTGAGGGGGGGTGCAAATCGAAAACTTGAGGGGGGGGGGGTGCAAATCGAAAGTTTGAGGGGGGTGCAAATCGAAAATTTGAAAGTTTGTCCCTGGGAAGGGTCTTTATGCCTCTGGGGGGGGGGGGTGACACCATTAAGTGCCGCACCGGGTGACACCCGACCTCGCTACGCCACTGTGTATGTGTGTGTGTGTGTTTAAAAGATAGAGAGTGTGTGTTTGTGTGTGTAACAGATAGAGCGTGTGTGTGTATGTGTGTCGCTCACACCACGGTTGGTTAAACACATGAAGCGACTAGAGGTCACCAGCGGGACCCGACAGTGACCACACAATGAGATGGACGCCGCAAGGGGTCGACATTTTAGGGGCGGAGGTGTCGGGGGTGTGGGGGGGCACGTTGGCTGGGTACTGAAGGGCCTTAGCAACAGCCAGCCAGCGAGTACAAATACCAAAGCTGGGATAATGGTAGGGATAATAGTAGAGATAGAGAACTATCCCAAGTTTTACTCTCAGATAGTGTGGCCCATTCCTAAAGAAAGAAACATTGGTAACGTGATTAGGGTTTAAGTCCGTAGCAAAGTTTGGTTAGAGTTAACGTAATGTTTAAAGCTAAATAAAGAAAGTTTGTTAACGTTAAAATTAGTCTATGAGTCCTAACGATTCATTAGGCATATAAAGTCGAGTTCATGTATTTTCGGACCTCGGCATACGAAGCGATAGTATAGTATATACAGCGCTATGCTCATCCACCTTAACATTCCCCAAATGTGAGTCAGGTGCCGCTTAGATCTAAGCGGACCGAGATCCGAACTCGAAATGTTAGGGTTAGCAGTCCAATGCTCTACTTCCCGACTATTTAGTTCCACAGCAAGTGAAGTAGAGTGACATACAACACTCCATATTACTAGATATACTTCTACATACAACACCCCATATTACTAGATATACTTCTACATACAACACCCCATATTACTAGATATACTTCTACATACAACACCCCATATTACTAGATATACTTCTACATACAACACCCCATATTACTAGATATACTTCTACATACAACACCCCATATTACTAGATATACTTCTACATCAACACCCTATATTACTAGATATACTTCTACATACAACACCCTATATTACTAGATATACTTCTACATACAACACCCCATATTACTAGATATACTTCTACATACAACACCCTACTTTCAGTATTCAATAGAGCCCGACCCTAGCCGTCTAAAACAAACTATTCCCCCTTCTCCCCCTACCCCCCCCCCTACACACACACACACACACACACACACACACACAAAAGGCGTGTCATGATGTCAACAACCAACTAACCACCTTCGCCATTAGTTATCTATACATAATTAATCATGACACCAATTAAAAAATTGTAATTAATGAAAGCAAGTGCTGAGCAGTGCAACACCCCACATGCAAACGAATGAAATTCTCTTTCAATCAAGCACTCACGCTTCTGTTAATAACAGTATCGAATGTCCTTGATTTCGATTGATACGCTATCGATCACTTTGATCGGATATCAAACAGTGGGTTCAATTTAAATATCGATTTCGTCATCTCCTTATACAGAGAATTTTAAATCAAAGGGGTCGGCGTGGTCGAGTCGGTAAAGCTCATGGTTGCTAAACCGCAAAATCTCGAGTTCGAACCATCGGGCTGATGAGGCTCGTTAGCAGGGGATAGCCACTCTTCTAGGAGAGACAACTCCAAAATTAAACAACTGCTGCCTTGTAGTTTGTTCTTGGTTGGAAGCAAATCAAAAAAGAAAAGCAGGCTGAAATCGGAGTCAATGACCTCAATGGTGCATAACCAGTTGACACGTATACTTAATTGTGTTGGAAGCGTGGTCGAGTCGGCAAAGCTCATGGTTGATAAATTCGAAAAAGTCTCGAGTTTCAAACCCTCTGGCAGATAAGGCTCGATCACCTCCAACATTTAAAATTAAGAACGAAGAAGAAGAAGAAAGAAGGATGCCTAATTAATGTTTTATGAGTTAATTAAAACTGTGTCCAAATAAGTAGGCAGTCTTATCAAACTATTCCGCACCATTATACGTGCTTTGTTATGATCATTAGGTGCGCAATGGTTTTTAGTCATGCAACTCTTTTGTAAATAACAAATTTAGAGTACTGAAAAAATTGCTTTAAAAATAACCTGCTTTTATGTAATAATTCACTAAAAAGAAGAAAAGAAATTGTTTTCTTTAAATATAAATATAGACAATACTATTTAAAATTTGATGTCAAGCATCATATCAAAAGTAGAAGTTTTTAATTTATTTTTTGTAAAATGGATGTTTTTAAAATTTTAAACTTTTTTCAAAATTTCATCATAATGAAATTTTTTTAGCTCTTGCTATAGATAATGTTAGATTACAAATTTTCAGAAAAATCTGTTATTATTTTAGAGAACTGGACGTTTAAAACTTTAAAATTTAACACTTTTAGAGGTCGAATTATTTTAAAACATTTTTTGCATCATACATAGGCCCTCGTTTATATGCGGTTTGTGTGTATAATGTATTTATAATCCTTTTTTTTTTTGCTAATTTTTTTGTCATTTTGTTTTACTTTTTCAGTGTACTATTTCCCCCTGAATTTTTAATTAAGCTAAAGTTTGAAAACCTAGTAAAGGACATCAATTTTATCACTGAAAGGTTAGTTTCAATTTCCGTTAGCAATAGACAAATTATATTTATCCGAAAATGAACAAATTAGCTAGATTATAATTTCCTTAGGTTAGAATATGTTTCTGTTTCCAATATTTCTATGACACAATTAATTTTAACGAACTGTTAAAAATTAAAGTTATTTTTCAATAAATGCTAATTAGTCCGACGAAGATATCTTTCCACCAGATCAACCATTTAGATTGCCATAAAATAATCGATGAAGGGAATTTCAAATTTAAAAATACTCTCTTGTAAATGACAACTGTTTGATTACTATGAACTATTTTTAAATATTTCTAAAGTCTAAACTTTGTCAAGCTTCCAATTACTCATACAAAAACTTGACCGAATAACATATTGATTTCACCGCAACTTGATCACATGCCAAATCAGGTGTCAATCATTTCAATGGTATAATCTTCGGTTTACTTCACCTATTCGTTATGCCTAATGGATCGATTTCGATTTGTTTAGCTTAAAATATTTGTAAATATTCATGAATAGACTAAAAGTATGAGAAAACGTCTCTTACTTAAAAAAATAATAAAGAAAGCATTGAGCATTCTAAGTTGCCTAGTCTAGCCTAGCATAACCGAACCTAAACTGCCGTGTTTCTTCCAGACTTTTTTCTCCGGGGGTGCAACAATTCTCGGGGGGGGGGGGGGGCGGACACTGTCAAAAGTATATATTTTCTATATAAATTTCATTTCGTTCTGGGGGGGGGGGGGTGGTAGACTTTCTTCTAACCACGTGCGGTTCACATTCTTTAAAAGCTATTTGGAAACCATTAGTGTTCTTAAGGGAATCACCTAATAACACGTAATATTGGCACTGAGTCAGAATGCTGTCAGAAAACCACCTAATGGTCTTGAGCTTATAAAATGGTTTCCCGTCCATATATCGGCATTCCAAAGCCCGTACATTCAAGTCTTAGTTTTAGTTTCACTGAAACCATTAGCAAAGAATTACAATAAACTTTCACGAAGTATTTTGATTCTTTTGGTAAGAATGTTCTATTAATTTTGTGTTAAATAATGATTCTTGTATAACAGTTTTCTCGTTTTTGACTGTACTCTGTGCACTGTAAATACCGTAAATATATTAAAGTAATTCAACAGAAGGAACTGGTTTATTTTTACCCCCTTTTTTACATACTACTTAGATCCATCACTAGCAAGAGCTAAAATAAAATCGTAGTTTTAATTTGTAAATCGTATGCATTGAACTTTGTATTTAAATATTTTTACAGCATATTGACACTCAAATAACGGACACGTGATATTCATCTTAGACCAACAGAAACTAACCTTGAAACAAAGGTATGTTTTTTTTTTTACTTTCTCTTATACAGATTGTAGAAAAAAAACTTTAATCGTGCACTTAAATTTAAAAAAAAATGAGATTGTAACAGCTTTCGCCGTTTTACGCTTCTTTACTGTAACGTATACAGAATATAAAGCACGAGCTGACCCGCGACGTAGCATACGGAGCTATCTAGTTGTTTTATTTTCTACTTTATCAACAATTCATAATTTGTGAATTCGACACTACCCCAACCCTCTGCCTTCCCATCCCACCCCGCCCAGTGAAAGCAGATGTTTACAGACGACAATGAACCGGCTCTACTATTCTAAACATTTGGGGATAAACCATAGCTCACCTGACACGTGGAGATGAGGGTGGTGGCTAAGCTGCGTGGTGTTTTCTATGGTCCCCATGAAGAGAATATATATATATATATATATATATATATATATATATATATATATATATATATATATATATATATATATATATATATATATATATATATATATATATATATATATATATATATATATATATATATATATATATATACATATATATATATATATATATATATATATATATATATATATATATATATATATATATATATATATATACATATATATATATATAAATATATATATATATATATATATATATATATATATATATATGTATATATATATATATATATATATATATATATCGCAGTCGTTCCAAAAATCGAGATTTCGACTCATTTTGTCGTTGATCTTTTGTATCCATATGCACGTAGTTGTCCAATTTGACCGTTGGACTGTAAATGTGTGTGTTTGTATGTGTGTATATGTGTATGTTTATGTGCATGCATGTGTGAGTAAACTCGTTAACTTTAGTGACGTTTCAGTTAGGTTTACGAAATATCATTAGTATTATATCAAATTTGTATTTTTCTATCAACGTTTGAGCAATTTACGGTAACCGAAACAGAAGCTTACTCCACTTCTCGTTTCTATATTTCTATAACCTGATTGCACTGAAGAAGTCACCCTGACGCTAATTGCCATCTAAGACTCCCACAATAAAAAATATTATTATTATAATCAGGATGTCTTAATATCTTATTGATTACTGTCTTAATGTTGTGTGTAATCAGAATCAACTGTTTTTTGAGTCTACTGGATTTTTACTCCATTTTACCATAGGCCTTTGTAATTCTCTACTTCGTTGATCTATAATGTTATTAATGCTCTCTCTCTCTCTCTCTCTCTCTCTCTCTTTATATATATATATATATATATATATATATATATATATATATATATATATATATATATATATATATATATATATATATATATACATATATATATATATATATGTATATATATATATATATAAACAAAAAATATATATATTGATACATGCATATTTAATTATTTTCATAGGTGAGAAGAAGGGTTTTCAAAAGTGAGACTTATAAAAACTCTCTGCAACAGCAAAAAAATGGAGAGCATAACTTTAAAGACAGGAATTGAAGAAGTATTTTTCGTAACTAAAGAGGAAATGCTAGATGCACTACCATTCTTAGAGGAATTGAGAATTTATCTTGATTTTTGGTTTCTTTACAAAGTGTTTGCGGTGGCATCAGGATATCAACACGTCATTACTGTATTTGCCATGTTTCATTTTTTTAACCAGTATATGGTTATATCGTTTCATACTGCTATAAATTTATATAAAATGAAATTCAATGTGTTTATGAATGTTTCGTATGTTTCTCTTTGGCTTTCAGACATACCACGTATTATCTTACATATTTCATATACATACTTTATTGGACAGACATCTCGTTGTTTTAAGTTATGGGAGCTAATTTTAGCAATTTTTGTTTTAGTATATATAATTTACGATATTATTTGGAATTGTTTTCATCAAATAAATAGGCTGAAACTTTTTAAAAAACTATTAATTATTTATGGAGCTATTTTGAAATTACATTTTCAAATTGTGTATATTATATTGTTATATTATATATTTTCCAAAAGGAAATGTATGTCGCTTTTATAAGAAAACAATACTGTTTACAATTTTGTATTGATACAACGATTTTAAATGCTTTAAATGTTACGTTAATTAAAAAAAAACCCTCTAAGAAAACTTGCAAAATTTTCTTTAACAGCGTTTGTTGATTTGTTGTGGTTAAAAGAGTAGAAACGTAAAAACAAGTTAATAAAAAGTCTAGTGACAATTTAAGCGCAATTTTCTTAATTAATTTTTTGTGACCGAACGAAAGGATATTTTTAAAATCTTTCTTCGGCAATATTGTTCTAAATTATGGCAGGAATCGATTGGTAAATGTTTCAAGTCGCTAAATTGTCTGGTTGCCGAGATATGGACCAAAAACTGCATTTTTTTTTTCGAGTTTTTTTGGCTTTTCCGGGAAATCCAGGAAGGAATTCCGGGAATATTTTTGGCCCACAATCATCCTTCGAACTTGCTTAATTAACATATTTGCTTTTGGAACTAGTCCTCGATATTGCTTCGTTGAGGAGAAGATACGACTTAAAGCTGCGGACACACATCCATCCATCCATCCATCCGTCCGTCCGTCCGTCCGTCCGTCCGTCCGTCCATTTGGTATTACGTAAAAAATTATAATTTAAACAATAAATACACTAGGTTTGTGTTACATTAAGTTTGGCCACTACTGATAAATTACTTTACTGAATGAGTTATCTTGACCTGTATCAACTAAAAATTTTGGATCCCTGTTTCAAGGGGACAATACAATAATGTCAATAAAAAGTTTGTAAAATTTTATGCATGTCCTTCATGGACTACCGGAACAACCTCTAGATAGACTCTTAACGCCATCGTGGTTGACTTTTTGTTCAGACATCTTAACTTAAGTATTTGTCGAAGTCATCTATTTTTGATCGACCGTTGACTTTTTATTTGACCAGATAACCCTTCAATCTCCGAGTCAAAATAAGCAATGCCTTATGACTGGGAGATCTTGAGTCAAATGGTAGTTCCATGGTAGCTAAGCAACATTGTTTTTTCCAGACTTTTTTCTCCGGAGGGGGCACCTGAAATTTTCGGGGGGGGGGGGGGGGGTAGACTTTCTTCGGGGGGGGGGGGGGGGGTGGCGGACACAGTTAAATGTATATGTTTTCTATATAAATTCCATTTCGTTCGGGGAGCGGTAGACTTTCTAAAGGGGTGGAGGGGGGGGGGGGGGGGGGGTCGGCCCCCCTTCCTCCGAAGAGATGCCTGGAAGAAACTCTGTTAAACAATAATAAACAACTCAAATGAACCATCTACATTACACATAAAACAAAAGAGAAACACATTCTATTTTAACTAGTCTAAAAACTTGACACACAAGAACAGTAAACAACACAATAGATTGCATTTGCATTAAATACTATGCTACACACAGCTAGCGTGGACTAACATCGTCATCATCAGCTTTTTGTGCCCACGCCACAAGGCACAGATGAAGTAGAGTTCATATGTTTCAATCACCTCTGTATACTGTGGGCATACTATGGGCACTATGCCCATCCGGCATTCAATTCTTTAACGTGAGTCAGGAACCCGTTACAGCTGGGTATTTTATTTTCATTTTTCAATTTTTAATAGCTTTAATTTTTTTTTTTTTGAAAACAATTTGGGCCTGAACTCCCTATTCTACGATAGACAAGTTTAGTAGCACTTTAACATTGTGTGACTGCAGAAAACCGATAATGCCTCTTACACAAATGCACGTGATGTAATCGAAGTAAACAAACATTATTCACTTCTGCATTAGTCGTTGAAAATTTGGAAAGAAAAACAAGGCTTAGAAAAAATACACACGAAGCGGCTTAAATAAATGGATGATATTATAGCCGATCATGATTTCTCCAGTCTTATTGATTAGGTTACCTCCCATTTGGATTTCAATATAAAATATTGAATCAAGGGAGGCAATATATAGAAATAAATCAAATCAACTAAAAACAAATACTTATTTATCAACAACGCAAACAAAAGAATAATAGTTCGCAATTGTTATAATATTATTTTGTATTACTAATTGTCTGTATAAATATGCCCAAATATTATTTTTGTAAATATAATAGCATAAAATATTAAAATAGTTATAAATTAAAACACATTAGCTCTGATTTAAGAAACATTTATTATGTATAGAGAGATACGCTTTTTAAGCATTATTCAAGACAGATGTAAGTAAAATTTTGGATCCCTTAAAGAGGGATAAAGTTGATAAGTGTAAGTCTTGTCCTAATTTTCTTATTAGGTACTACTTAATAAGAAAATTATTTTACTCTTCACTTGTGCCAATTAAGAAAATAATATATACATCTGTCTAATTCGAATCAATACATACTCCAGACAATCTACCCCCTCACTACCGAATAATGTCTCCATTCCTGTTAATTCACTGACACCCAACTTATGTCCAGCAAAGCGCGTCACACGACTTATACATACAACCACAAACTGGTAACAAAACACTATACAAAATAGAAAACAAAATCTTGTTAGAGTTAAATAATAATAAACAACTGTACGTGGTGTAAATGAAATAAACAAATTGTATTCATTTCTGCATATCTATTCATACGGACAAAATAGCGTAACCAAGTTTTTTTGGACTAGATCAGGGGTCGGCAACCTGCGGCTCGCGAGCCGCATGCGGCTCTTTTAATGTCAAGATGCGGCTCTTCAGATCTATTAAATAGTTATATTATTTCGTTTTCAAAATTCGCAACAAATATTATACTGTAAAGAAACTCAACATTAAACAGGATAAAAACACTCATCAGAGAAAAATGACAGTTTGTGAGGTAGAAAGTATACGGACAGCCGCTTGGGCACCAGGCCTAGCCCCACAGTAGTGCTGCAGCCAGTCCCGTGGCGACTATTCAATGCTTGCCACCGCCCAAGTGGCCACTTTTTTGAATATCGTTAAATGCGAATGTCATTTTATTCAGAATGCATGTCCATAGTGGTTAGTAATCATTAATTTGACGAGAGTGACATAGTTTTTAAGTGATTAGTTACTATTGTTGAGCCGAATACTGAACGGTGGGGTACGAGTTTACCTTGTGCTCTGTGGGGTAGAAGATAAGTCTGATGAGATCCGAAGGACAGAAGCGACCGTTACACTGTTATCAAACCGATATTCAGGCCAGATAGTCAAAGTTAGCCAAGTTGAGGCCTGACCAGAGGCGTAGCGACCCTTCCCGGCGCCCGGGGACAAACTTTTCGATTTACACCCCCCTCAAGATTTCGATTTGAACTCCCCCCCCCCCCCCTCAAACTTTTCCATTTGCACCCCCCACTCAAGATTTCGATTTGCACCCCCCTCAACCTTTCAATTTATTTTTCCAACCCATTTTGGCGCCCCCTAAGGTCGGCGCCCAGGGACATATGTCCCCGTCCCCCCTCGCTACGCTACTGGGCCTGACTGGCTAATGGGAGACACCCACTGAGCAGGTGATGTACGTCAAGAAAGAAAAAAAAAATTTTAATTTTTGATTACTAATTTCATTATTCTCGCGAAAGAAGTGTATGTTTTTATATGAATAAATATTATGTCATATTTAAAGCTATGTATTTTAAATAACAAATCAAATTTATGTACCTAATCCTAATCGAATAATGAAATATTGATATAAAAAATGTTTCTGGTTCTTTAAAAACTGGGAAATTTTGAAAATTGTAACTTTTGGCTCTTCCATCTCAAAAGGTTGCCGACCCCTGGACTAGATGACTAGATTTTGATACATTTGGATTTATAACTTTTGCCCTTTAAAATATTCCCATGTACTACGTATATGATTAAGTACCGAGAAGTAAAACCGCGATAACTATCAAAATTGCATGTGGTTTCTGTACATGATTACAATCTATATATATAATTCTCTTCTGGGAGACGCTAGAAAACAAGTTGTAAGCGCGGTCCTTACCGCCCCCACCCCTACATGGTCTGGTGAGCTGTGGTTCACGCTAAATGTTTACATTTATTAGGGGCAGATAATTTAGTTTGAAACGATTTTAAACTTAGGGGAGGTAACTAAGAGGAGGCTGCTTTCACGGGGGAAGGGGGGGGGGGTGTAGGGTAGGGGTTGGGGTTGGGGGAAAGGAGGGAGGGGGTAGGATCGTCCTTAACGACCTACTGATAGTGTTTTAAAGCAAATATTTTCAGTGGCAGCATTGGTACTGTCGAATTCACAAATTCGACTCCGATTTTATTTGCTTCCATAGCCTTTGTCCAATAAAGAACAAACTACAAGGCAGCAGTTGTTTGATTTTGGAGTTGTCTCTCCTAGAAGAGTGGCTGTCCCCAGCTAACGAGCCTCATCTGCCCGAGGGTTCGAACTCGAGATTTTTGGTTTAGCAACCATGAGCTTTATCGACTCGACCACACCGACCCTCCTCTTCACTCTGTATACGATCAAGTAAAGAAAGACAATACCCAAATTAGACCTCGATCATCATTCTCCTAGACCACTCATCTCTGTTGTGTTACAACAACTCTAATGATTAAAACTCAATAAAGGTATAATTAAATTTATATTAACGACTATTCGTGACTAATATTGAATACGAGCCGACCCGCGGTGTATCATGCGCCGCTATTTAGTTGTTTTTTCTACTTTACACCCCCCCCCCCCCCCCCCCCCCCGTGAAAGCAGCCTCCTCTTAGTTACCTCGTCTAAGTTTTAAAAAGTTTCAAACTAAAGTATCTGCCCCTAATAGCCGTCACCAAACCCGGCTCTACGATTGTTTTGTAAACATTTAGCATGAACTACAACTCACCTGACCATGTGAGGGGTGGGGGTGGGGGGGGGGGGGGGGGTGGTAGCGATAGAGAGGAAGAGAGGGGACTGCAAGGCGCGCGCTTGCAGCTTGTTTTCTAAAGTCTCCCAGAAGAGAATTATATATATAGATAACAATACTTTAACATTTAATTGTTATATTAGTTAGTTTAGTATTATATATCAGTCAATAATATATTTCATTAAAAAGCATATCATGCAGTGGGAAAGAAACTCACGACCCTTAGCTTACAAGGCTAATGCTCTATCTACTGACCTATAGAGGAGCTCTTCTCAAAATTCATTAGAGAACACAAGTGTGGCTATATACAATGTTTATACAGTGACTTTAGCTCAGATGTATACATCAAATGTTGCACTATTGCGAGACAGAATGAAATTTCAGGGGGAAAAACACAAAACCCCTCAAAAAATATTAATTGCATGTGTGATTGTTATTGAGAGTGAGTTAAACCAGAAAAATTGAGTTCGTTTGATAATTTAGGTACATTATGTTTTAATATTTTAAATGTTTTTCGCTCAACGTATTTTCCAATAAACACACTTCTACCTTGTAACTGTTTTTTTTTTTTGTGTAAAACACTCAAATTTTATTATGTTATATTGCAATGAGAATTTCGTGTTCAGATTTATTTCTTTAACATCTCTTCTTTAAATACAGGTTTAACCGACTAACATGAGACCCCAAACCCATGAAAATCGCAATTTATATTTGTTGCAAACTTTGAGACTCTGTGAAACAAATTTCTTGCTAGTAAGTTCGCGATTTAACGCTTTCTTTAACGATTTCTGTCCAGATTTTAAGAAACATATTATTTATTTCAGAGGCGTAGCGAGGGGGAGCGGGGGGTGCGGAACGCACCGGGTTACACCATTTACGGGGGTTACACCAAGGCAAAAAATAGCAAAATATATAGAGAAAAACTTGAGGGGGGATGCAAATCGAAAGTTTGAGGGATGGGTGCAAATCGAAAATTTGAAAGTTTGTCCCCGGGAAGGGTCGCTACGACTCTGGGGGATGACACCATTAAGCGCCGCACCGGGTGACATCCGACCTCGCTACGCCACTGATTTATTTTGTTTAGTTCTGAAAAAGATTAACTGCTCTCGAAGTGTGTACATTAATAATTTCAAATTAATAAGGTGCAAACACCAACCTTACATATTTACAATCGAGAAATTATCTTAATAGCAATATTTATGAATAATGTGATGTGAAGATTCGCATTACATTTTCTAGAGCACGGGATCCTAAAATGTGGTTTGCGCCCCCACCCCCACTCCCCAAAGTTGCGACCCCCCCCCCCCCCCCCACACACACACACACACAAACACTCCCCAAAGTTGCAATGTAATTTCTGAAGGGTCTCTAAGTTTGTTTATTTTCAAACTTAAACAGTGTTAAGTCTTATCTTATTCTTACAGACAGAAACAAAAGTCACCTTGTATAACCAGTCGGTCCATCAATGTAGGTGAAGTTAAGTTAATTTTTTTATTGTAACTTCTACATAAAACTGAAATAGGAGGGGGGGGGGGGGGGGGGCCGGACAACCCTAAGCCTTGCCGTCGTTACTATTCCTAACGTGAGCTAGGTACCCATCTGAGCTGGGTGTAGCCTACTTGGAGAAAAGTTGAATCATAAACAATAGATGACGACAAAATAAATATGCACGCATGCGAATGCCGATATATTTTAGAAGTAATATGATTGGTCTGTTAAAAATAACTTATTCCGAATAGAGGTCGTAGGCTATTTTTAGTTCACTACCAATAGTCAATAGACAATCAAAATTGATTATTGGGTAGCCTGCAATGTACAATATCGTACATCACTAGTCTTATCTATTGAAGGACAACACAGTTTCATCTCGAGAATTTTTTTTACTGTATTAATTTATGTAAGGGTTAGGGTTAGGTCAAGGTCTATTGCTAGAGATATAAGAAAAATAACTTCGATACTTCTGAGCAGGGGAACAGCGAGGGGGGGGGGGGCGGGGGGTGCGGACCGCACCGGTTGACACCATTTAGGGGAGTGACACCAAGGCAAAAAATAGCAAAATATATAGAGAAAAACTTGAGGGGGGTGCAAATCGAAAGTTTGAGGGGGGGGGGGGTGCAAATCGAAAACCTGAAAGTTTGTCCCCGGGAAGGGTCGCTACGCGTCTGGGGGGTGACACCATTAAGTGCCGCACCGGGTGACACCCGACCTCGCTACGCCACTGCTTCTGAGTGCTTGACCGTCTGTAGTACGAAAGTTGCTGGAAAGAAATGCTCCCGTTTTGTGAAGACGCTAGTTACGGAAGCTACAAATCAAATGCAATGCTTATAGTGCAAAAACGCCTGATTTTACCTGTTCCTGGTTAGAGAGTAGTACACCGTACCAGAGGCGTAGCGACCCTTCCCGGCGCCCGGGGACAAAATTTTCGATTTGCACCCCCCCCCCCCTCAAGATTTAGATTTGCACCCCCTCCCCTCAAACTTTCGATTTGCACCCCCCTCATCCTTTCAATTTATTTTTCCAACCCATTTTCGCGCCCCCTAAGGTCGGCGCCCGGGGACATATGTCCCCCCCCCTCGCTACGCTACTGCACCGTACCATACCGTACCGAACCTACCGTAACGTATTGTATCGTATTGTATTGCCTCGGATCAATTTTAGAATGCACATTATCACATAATATATACACTTGTATAAAGCACAACGGTGGATATTTTTAGCGGGGTTTTATTTTTATTCTTTAATTGACTGTTGTTTATTAAAATTTAAAACACATGGATTAATCTGCCGAGGTGCGCCCATAAAGTTTAGACCCTGTTTTGCACACCTTGGAGTTTAGTTTTGCGCAACCAAATCAAACTCTCCTGCACCGTGTCTGTGACGTCATTGACGCAGCGTTACGACATGAACTCCATGTCAACATTTAAGGACGGCAAGCTGGTAATGTGAAAAATCAATTTCTCTGGTATGTTACAATGCTTTAAATGTTTATTTAGTGATGTATGATATATAAATTGTCTAGAATAATTTATTTAATAGTTATTAAGGTTACATAATACATATAGATCTATAATCTATATCTACATTTAAGATCCCAAACGACATAGACCTAGATCTAGAATCCTAGATCTAGATCTAGATCTAGATTCTAGATCTAGATCTAGATTTTAGCTAGATTCTAGATCTAGATCTAGATTATTCTAGATCTAGAATCTAGATTCTAGTCTAGATTAGAATTGATTAGATCAACATAAAGATCTAGATCTATACTAGTAACTTTTTTTTTTAAATAAAAGAAGCTCCACTCAGATGAGATAGAATCTAGATCTAGATTCTACATCTAGAGTCTAGATCTAGAGTCTAGATCTAGATCTATTCGAATCAAAAATGTACACTGTCTACTAGACTTAGTCTAGATATAAAATCTAACCAATGGGGAAAAGTTCTACTCCTAGAATCTAGATCAATGTGTATGAAGCGATAGATTAAAATGTGGTACTATGTTAGAGTTTCAAGTTACCTGTCTGTAGAACTTATATATCCCTGAGTGAATTCAGCTCCGATCACTCGAAGTCTTGGCTGTAATATATTTTAATACAGTCAGCTCTAATGTGTACCTGAATGTAGTACTTATACATCCCTTAGTACATTCATGTTTAATGGACTTCTGTCTGTAGTACCATGAGGCAATTCAGCTCTAATGGGTACCTGGCTGTAGTACTTGTACATCCCTTAGTACATTCATATATAATGGACTCATGAATGTAGTACCATGAGCAAATTCAGCTCTAATGGGTACCTGACTGTAGTACTTGTACATCCTTTAGTACATTCATGTATAATAGACTCCTGACTCTAGTACCATGAGCCAACTCAGCTCTAATGGGTACCTGACTGTAGTACTTATACATCCCTTAGTACATTCATATATAATGGACTCATGACTGTAGTACCATGAGCAAATTCAGCTCTAATGGGTACCTGACTGTAGTACTTGTACATCCTTTAGTACATTCATGTATAATAGACTCCTGACTCTAGTACCATGAGCCAACTCAGCTCTAATGGGTACCTGACTGTAGTACTTATACATCCCTTAGTACATTCATGTATAATAGACTCCTGACTCTAGTACCATGAGCAAATTCAGCTCTAATGGGTACATGACTGTAGTACTTGTACATCCTTTAGTACATTCATCTTTAATAGACTCCTGACTCTAGTACCATGAGCAAATTCAGCTCTAATGGGTACCTGACTGTAGTATTTATACATCCCTTAGTACATTCATGTTTAATGGACTCCTGACTGTAGTACCATGAGGCAATTCAGCTCTAATGGGTACCTGACTGTAGTACTTATACATCCCTTAGTACATTCATGTTTAATGGACTGACTGTAGTACCATGAGGCAATTCAGTTCTAATGGGTACCTGACTGTAGTACTTATACATCCCTTAGTACATTCATGTTTAATGGACTGACTGTAGTACCATGAGGCAATTCAGCTCTAATGGGTACCTGACTGTAGTACTTATACATCCCTTAGTACATTCATATATAATGGACTCATGACTGTAGTACCATGAGCAAATTCAGCTCTAATGGGTACCTGACTGTAGTACTTGTACATCCTTTAGTACATTCATCTTTAATAGACTCCTGACTCTAGTACCATGAGTAAATTCATCTCTAATGGGTACATGACTGTAGTACTTATACATCATCCCATAGTACATTCATGTTTAATGGACTAACCGTAGTACCATGAGGCAATTCAGCCTTAATTGGTACTTGACTTTAATACAGACACATCCCTTAGTACTTTCTTTTTAATGGACTCCTCAGTGTATTACCATTAATCAATTCAGCTCTAATGGGTACCTGACTGTAGTACTTATACATCCTTTAGTACATTCATATAAAATGGACTGACTGTAGTACCATGAGCAAATTCAGCTCTAATGGGTACCTGACTGTAGTACTTATACATCCCTTAGTACATTCATGTTTAATGGACTCCTGACTGTAGTACCATGAGGCAATTCAGCTCTTAATGGGTACCTGACTGTAGTACTTATACATCCCTTAGTACATTCATATATAATGGACTCCTGACTGTAGTACCATGAGCTAATTCCTTTCAAATGGGTACCTAACTGTAGTCCTTATATATTCCTTAGTACATTCATGTTTAATGAACTCCTGACTGTATTACTAATATATCCATGAGCCAACTCAGCTCTAATGGGTACTTAACTGTAGTACTAACACATCCATGAGCCAATTCGGCTCTAATGGGTACTTAACTGTAGTACTAACACATCCATGAGTAAATTTACCTCTAATGGGTACTTAACTGAAGTACTAACACATCCATGAGCAAATTCAGCTCTAATGGGTACTTAACTGTAGTACTAATTCATTCATTAGCACATCCATCTCTAATTTATAGTACGTAACCTAATGAGTGAACAAGCCTGAACCTACTTAGCCCTTACAGCCTTACAGGTACTTGATTGAAGAACGTCCGCATGCCTATGTCCATTGGTGTGAAATATTAAATCCGCAAATCAGATTACTTATGATACAATAAGCCTAGAACAAAGAAACACGTCAACAGCTCTATTTCCCTTGAGGACCCTGTCTTAAAAGTATAAAGTATTTTGAAGTATTTCTATTTTCACTCTCATGGACACCATCGAAGCAAAGGCATTCATAAAAATGACCTATCATAACTATATGAATTCGAGATTTGTTCGCTTAATCCTAATTAACATCAGTTTTCAATACACCCAAGTAGTTAGGTTCGAAGTTAAGAAGCAAGACTAGGATTAGGCTAAAGGAAAGAGTTAGAGTTAGGGCTAGGTTTGGTGCCAAAGTAATAATTATTCTAGAATACGCACTTCGCGCGTTGTGGTATATATTATACGAGCTGACCCGCGACGTAGCATACGCCGCCATCTAGTTGTTTTATTTTCTGCTTATCAGCAATTCATAATTTGTGAATTCAACACTACCCCCTCCCGCCCACCCTCCTCTCCCACCCAGTGCAAACACCCGTTTACAAAAAAAAAGATCAATCAGAAATTGTTACCTCCCCTTCGTTTCAAATCGTTTAATACTAAATTATCTGCCCCTAATAGCCGTCACTAACCCGGCTCTACGATTGCAGATAAAAAAGAATAGCATCAGCAACTTCAGAGTGAGAATCTGTATGTGGAGGTATTTAAGTCAGTGAAAAAAGAAAAGGCGTACAGCAGCGATTTGATCCTACTCTATTGGGACAGTGCACCGGAAGGTGCAGGTAGTAGGCATGGCGTCAGAAGGTGAGTCAGTCGTGTTTCAACGGTGGGGCGGGGGGGGGGGGGTGTTGATCGATGTTTGGTGTTTGAGATTGTAATTGGTGTTTGTGGTAGTGACAGGTGTTTGTGGTGGTTATTAGTGTTTGAAGCTGCGATTAGTGTTTGTGTCGATGATTGGTAATTGTAGTGGTGGATGGTATTTGTGGTGGTGGAAGGTTTTGTGGTGGTGGATGCTGTTTGTGTTAGTGATTGGTGTTTGTGTTGGTGATTGGTGTTTGCGGTGGTAGATGGTGTTTGTGATAGTAGATGGTGTTTGTGTCGGTGATTGGTGTTTGAAGTGGTGGGTGGTGTTTGTGTCAGTGATTGGTGTATGTGGTAGTAGATGGTGTTTGTGTCAGTGATTGGTGTATGTGGTGGTAGATGGTGTTTGTGTCGGTGATTGGTGTTTGTGTGGGTGATCGGTCTTTGTCGAGGTAGATGTTGTTTACGTCGGTGAATTGTGTTTGTGTCGGTGATTGGTGTTTGAGGTGGTGATTGGTGTTTTTTCGGTGAAGTTTGTTGCAGTATGATTTTAGTTTGAGACAGTGATTTTAATTTGATTGTAGTTTAAGTGTAGCAGGTAGCAGTAATAATAATTTGATTGTAGTTTGATTGTAGTTTAAGACACCGATTTTAATTTGACTGTAGTTTAATTTTATTTTGTTGTAGTGATTGTAATGTGTTTATAGATTTATTGCAGTTTGACTGCAGTTTTAAGCAGTAATTGCAATCTGATTGTATTATGATGCAGTCGATTGTATTGAGTTAGTAGATTGATTGTACTTTGTTTCAAGCAGTAATTGTAATCTGTTTGTATTTTGATGTTTGAGAAAGAGACTGTAGAAGACAAGACTAGTCTTGTGACTTTACTACATCTGGTTAAAAGATGAACTATCCAAACGTTCTACAGATGAAGTAGAGTTCATCTGTATCTGGCCCCCGCATATGAAGGGATAGTGGGGTCAGCCCAATGCCCTGCTTGCTCTAACTCCACTCTAACTCCCCCAACTCCAGACAGACCCCCTCCCAGCCGAGTGAACCCGACGACGTTCTAAGGACTTGAACCCTTGACACTTCGGGTTAGTAACAGTAGACTCTGCCACTCAACACGGCTGGTGTTAAATATATTTCATTTTTTTTAATCGCTTTACAAACTGGGTTTAACAACAGTTACCTCTCTTTGACTGAAATTTATTCTTCTGACTGATCTGCTAAAATGGAGCTAGATTGACCTAAATACTTAAGAATGCAATTAATTAATGATTAGTCTTTGAATTTCAGAGCCTGTAAACGAGACCGAGTCCATGGGTAGTTGGTGGGAATCTATCGTTGAGACTTTGGAAACGTTATTGTACAGCTTAATTTGGAAATCACATGCAAAACAGGAGGAAGTAATTCCCCCGCCTCCAGCCTTTGTGTTCGATGACGAGGTACTTTCTTGGGCATGGCATCTGGCGCCGCTAACCGTGTAAGTTGTTTTGTGTGATTGGTTGATTTTTTTTGTGAGGGGAGTGTGTTGTGTGGGGGAGTGTCTTGTGTGGGGAGTGTCTTGTGTGGGGAGTGTCTTGTGTAGGAAATGTCTTGTGTGGAGAGTTTGTTGTGTGGGGAGGGACTTGTGTGGGGAGTGTCTAATATGGGGAGTGTGTTGTGTGGGTAGTATCTTTATGGAGAGTGTGTTGTGTGGGGAGGGTCTTTTATGGGGAGTGTCTTGTTAGGGGAGTGTGTTGTGTGGGGGAGTGTCTTGTGTGGGGAGTGTCTTGTGTGGGGAGTGTATTGTGTGGAGAGTGTGTTGTGTGGGGAGGGTCTTTTATGGGGAGTGTCTTGTTAGGGGAGTGTGTTGTGTGGGGGAGTGTCTTGTGTGGGTAGTGTCTTGTGTAGCAAGTGTCTTGTGTGGAGAGTGTGTTGTGTGGGGAGGGTCTTGTGTGGGGAGTGTCTAATATGGGGAGTGTCTTATGTGGGGAGTGTCTTGTGTGGGGAGTGTCTTGTGTGGGGAGTGTCTTGTGTGAGGATTGTCTTGTGTGGGAAGTGTCTTGTGTGGGGAGTGTCTTGTGTGAGGAGTGTCTTGTGTGGGAAGTGTCTTGTGTGGGGAGTGTCTTGTGTGAGGATTGTCTTATATGGGGAGTGTCTTGTGTGGGGAGTGTCTTGTGTGGGGAGTGTCTTGTGTGAGGAGTGTCTTGTGTGGGGAGTGTCTTGTGTGGGGAGTGTCTTGTGTGGGGTGTGTCTTGTGTGGGGAGTTTCTTGTGTGGGGAGTGTCTTATATGGGAGTGTCTTGTGTGGAGAGTGTCTTGTGTGGGAAGTGTCTTGTGTTAGGATTGTCTTGTGTGGGAAGTGTCTTGTGTGAGGATTGTCTTGTGTGGGGAGTATCTTGTGTGAGAAGTTCCTTGTGTGTGAAGTGTCTTGTGTGGGGAGTTTCTTGTGTGGGGAGTTTCTTGTGTGTGAGTGTCTTGTGTCGGTAGTGTCTTCTGTAGCCTGTGTTTTCAAGCCCCGTGTGCCATTGTTTGCTGTTGTTACAGGATGATGGTGTTGTTCATCGCGGCCTCCATTGTGTCGTACGTGTATATGCGCTACAGACGTAAACAAAAACCGCAAGACGTACCTCTGATACCGGAACGCCCCAAACAAGTAAGTCACAGTAGCGAATTAGTCATAGATGGGTCAGCGTGTGTACACTCTACCACTAGACCACGCTGATATATGCTTTTCCCGAGATATGTGCACAGAAGTACGGTGGTTTATCTTGGTGCCTTGTAGGCGCCTGAATTTCTTAGCAACATCGTATAACATATGGCTGTCTTGTTGACATAAGATCTCTGAGGGCAGACAGCTGTCTGTATTGTAGACATTGGATCTCATACAGAAGTTAGATTATGTCTTGTAGACCGGGGTCTCAGAGAGTGGACAGCTTTCTTGTAGACATTGGTTCTCATAGAGTAGACAGCTGTCTGTATTGTAAACATTGGATCTCATAGAGCAGACAGCTGTCTGTCTTGTAGACATTGGATCTCATAGAGCAGACAGTTGTCTGTCTTGTAGACATTGGATCTCATAGAGCAGACAACTGTCTGTCTTGTAGACATTGGATCTCATAGAGCAGACAGCTGTCTGTCTTGTAGACATTGGATCTCATAGAGCAGACAGTTGTCTGTCTTGTAGACATTGGATCTCATAGGGCAGACAGCTGTCTGTCTTGTAGACATTGGAGCAGACAGCTGTCTGTCTTGTAGACATTGGATCTCATAGAGCAGACAGCTGTCTGTCTTGTAGACATTGGATCTCATAGAGCAGACAGTTGTCTGTCTTGTAGACATTGGATCTCATAGAGCAGACAACTGTCTGTCTTGTAGACATTGGATCTCATAGAGGAGACAGCTGTCTGTCTTGTAGACATTGGATCTCATAGAGCAGACAGTTGTCTGTCTTGTAGACATTGGATCTCATAGGGCAGACAGCTGTCTGTCTTGTAGACATTGGATCTCTTAGACTAGACAGCTGTCTATCTTGTAGACATTGGATCTCATAGAGCAGACAGCTGTCTGTATTGTAGACATTGGAGAAGACAGTTGTCTGTCTTGTAGACATTGGATCTCATAGAGCAGACAGTTGTCTGTCTTGTAGACATTGGAGCAGACAGCTTTCTGTCTTGTAGACATTGGATCGCATAGGGCAGACAGCTGTCTGTCTTGTAGACATTGGATCTCATAGAGCAGACAGTTGTCTGTCTTGTAGACATTGGATCTCATAGGGCAGACAGCTGTCTGTCTTGTGGACATTGGAGCAGACAGCTGTCTGTCTTGTAGACATTGGATCGCATAGGGCAGACAGCTGTCTGTCTTGTAGACATTGGATCTCATAGAGCAGACAGTTGTCTGTCTTGTAGACATTGGATCTCATAGGGCAGACAGCTGTCTGTCTTGTAGACATTGGAGCAGACAGCTGTCTGTCTTGTAGACATTGGATCTCATAGAGTAGACAGTTGTCTGTCTTGTAGACATTGGATCTCATAGAGCAGACAGTTGTCTGTCTTGTAGACATTGGATCTCATAGAGCAGACAGTTGTCTGTCTTGTAGACATTGGATCTCATAGAGCAGACAGCTGTCTGTCTTGTAGACATTGGATCTCATAGAGCAGACAGTTGTCTGTCTTGTAGACATTGGATCTCATAGAGCAGACAGTTGTCTGTCTTGTAGACATTGGAGCAGACAGCTTTCTGTCTTGTAGACATTGGATCGCATAGGGCAGACAGTTGTCTGTCCTGTAGACATTGGATCTCTTAGAGCAGACAGTTGTCTGTCTTGTAGACATTGGATCTCATAGAGCAGACAGTTGTCTGTCTTGTAGACATTGGAGCAGACAGCTGTCTGTCTTGTAGACATTGGATCTCATAGAGTAGACAGTTGTCTGTCTTGTAGACATTGGATCTCATAGAGCAGACAGCTGTCTGTTCTGTAGACATTGGATCTCATAGACTAGACAGCTGTCTATCTTGTAGACATTGGATCTCATAGAGTAGACAGTTGTCTGTCTTGTAGACATTGGATCTCATAGAGTAGACAGCTGTCTGTCTTGTAGACATAGGAGTAGACAGGTGTCTTGTCGTTACTGGATGTCATAAAGCAGATTGCTATTTTTAAACAGACGTTGTCCTAAAGTAGATAGTTATCTTGTTGACATCTGATGTCATACAACAAACAACTGTCATGTAGACATCTGATGTCATACAACGTACAACTGTCATGTAGACATCTGATGTCATACAACGTACAACTGTAGTGTGGACATCTGATGTCATACAACGTACAACTGTCATGTAGACATCTGATGTCATACAACGTACAACTGTAGTGTGGACATCTGATGTCATACAACGTACAACTGTCATGTTGACATGAGATGTCATACAACAGATATTTGTCTTGTGTACTTCTAAGTCATGCAGCAGACAACCGTCTTGTTGACATCTGATGTCATACAACGACCAACTATCTTGTTGACATGAGATGTCATACAGCAGAAATTTGCCTTGTGTACTTCCAAGTCATGCAGCAGACAGCTGTCTCGCTAAATAATAACCTAAGACACACCGAAGCTGTCTTTTAGGCATATTTTTAGAACTAAATTGATCGCGAACCAGATTCAAATGAAAAATGCTTGGTTAAGAGTTGTTTTTTTTTTTGGACGAGTTCTTGTTGCCGCGAGAAATGTGTGACTATTATTTTAGTGATGGATGAGGTATAAATACCAAATGTCATATATCAATACCCCCTTTCATTAAACTAAACTTTTTAATTATCGGTTTTTTTAAAAACAAAGTAACACGTTTTACTTTTGGAGTATTCTCGGTGTAAAAACAGCTAGATCTTGTTTTGTACTTGTGATATTCCTGTGCACATTTTTGCTGTTAGACCATGTTCATTATTTAAACTCTGAAGCAGTTTTTTTATTAGTGCTAAAAGCGTTACTTAACTACAGTAGCACAGATTTTAATAAACTGAATGCAAAACTGAATAGAATACAACGCCGTCTCAGCAACACACAGTAGGAATATAATTGTTTTGAGTGAATCTTTGGTGTAGGTTGATTATCTCTTTCTTTTTAAAATGGTAAAAAATTATAAATGCAAATTTGAAGTACATCTTTGATTGCTCAGGTTGAAAGTGCATTTTCTACAATATCGCAACACAACATTTGTAATGAAAATCGAATGTTAAATTAGTCATTAAAATTAATTTAACTATTTCAAAAGAAAAGGGAGATAACATGATTAAGTAGCAGCGATCACTTTTAATCAGCTTGTTTACAACGGTGAACTGTTTTTCACGGCTGAATGAACTAAGAGCAAGGGTTCAAAATATATTGTGGACTACATTACTTAAATCAAGTAACACTGGGGAATCGCGGTTACCGTACAATTGTATTCACTCCCAACCATTTAAAATAGCAGTTAATCGTGCAAGAATAAAATATAAACAATTGAAAGCCGAGTTATATAACATCGAACTAAATTATCCCCCCCACCCCACCCGTAGTTCTACAAATAGCAGTTTGAAGTGGTTGGCCAATATCTCTATTGTCAGAGGTTTTCAGCCAGTGGCCACTGTGTCATGGGTGCATATATAAATATTATATATCCTGATATTGATATGACTATCTATAAAGATGATATTATGCAAAATTATAGAACCTCTCCAATTAGAGGGCATTCTCGTGACAATCGATAACTGTCTTTCAGGCTGGGTCTAAGAAGGTGCCGCCCACAGTTCCACAGCCGCCGATTATAGTAGAGACCGAGCCCGCCACCACAGAACAGTCAGATGCTGATGTCGACCAACCATGTAACTATTACACTTAATACTCACACTTACGTCTTGTTACTTAAAAGTTCTTATAAATCAATACGAAGTTTGAGTTATTGGACAAAACTTGATGTGGTTGATTCTGTTGACAACACGATCTAATATTACATTTCTGGGACACTAAGTTTATAAAACTAAATACATAAATACATAAATTAATTATTTAAAAATTTTTTTAAAAAATATATATAAATAAATAAATGAATATATATATATATATATATATATACATATATATATATATATATATATATATATATATATATATATATATATATATATATATATATATATATATATATATATATATATATATATATATATATATATATACTTACATACATATATATATGTATGTATATATATATATATATATATATATATATATATATATATATATATATATATATATATATATATATATATATATATATATATATATATGTCTATTTTTAGCAACATCCAGACTTGAGCCCCCAAGGAGATGGGACTCACTTAGCCATCAAGTGGAAGCTACTGTCGAGCGACCAAAGGTGCCCTGTGAGAGTCACAAGAGGCCGGATGAGAGAAAAAATGAGCCCGTGGAGAGACCTAAGGAGCCCGCGGAGAGACTGGATGACACAGTGGAGAGACCGAATGAGACAGTAGAGAGACCGAATGAGACAGTAGAGAGACCGAATGAGACAGTGGAGAGACCCGAGCCTGCGGAGAGACCCAATGAACCTGTGGAGAGACCCAAACCGCACATCGAGAGTCATAAAGTGCCAGCCGAAAATCACAAAAAGACCCATGAGAGTCCCAAGAAACTCGTGGTGATTACCAAGGTGCCAAATGAGACCCCCAAGGAGCCTGCTTTAAATCTAAATGAACCCATGGGGAGTCCTAAGAATCCCACGAATACCAAGGAGCCCCATGACAGTCCTAAGAAGCAGGTTCAAAGTCTTAAAGAGCCCGTTGATACTTACAAGAAGTCAAAGGAGATTACCAGAGAACAAACGGAGAGTCCGAAGATGACCGTGGAAATCAACAAGGAGCCCGTAGAGAGTACAAAGAAGCCCCTGGAGATTGTCAAAACAAACGATGTGGTTGAAAGGGCATCAGCCAAGCACCAGGAGACCTACCTGAGCACGGAGACGGTATCCCTGTCGTGTGTGACGACTAGCCGCGGCACCTCCTCGCACCGTGTGAAACAGATCAAAGCCAAACGCATCAAGCAGAGGGGATACACCTCAGCGTCGCCCAAAGGTAAAGTGGGAAGATGTTGATTGTGTGTACCAGTGGCGTAGCCAGGATGGTCTCAAGGGGGGGTTCCAATTTTTACCCGGGGACAAACTTTCGATTTGCACCACCCCCCCCCCTCTAACTTTCGATTTGCACCCCCCCCCCCTCAAACTTTCGATTTGCACCCCACCCACCCCCACCCCCCCTCAAACTTTCGATTTGCACCCCCTCATACTTTATATATATATATACCGAGGGGGGGGGTTATGACCCCCCCTAACCCCTCCCCTGCCAACGTGACTGGTATGTACCCTTGTTCGGGGTTTCTTTCTGATTATTTGTTCCAGTGAGAATTCAAACATCTTTGTCGATGAGTTTATGCATTGCTTAAGTATACCTTTTTTTTTTCCAAACTTACTATTTTGTTTTATTTCATGTTGATTCAATTAAAAATATAGCAACCTAATCATTGATTTAAAAATTACAATACAGTTCAATCTTAATCTGTAATGGGTGTAAGTAGAAATTTTGAATTATAGACAAAAAAAACAACAAATAATAAGTGTATTTCTTGCTGAAGATTGGGGGGGGGGGGGTGATACCTTACACAAACACAGCACACGCTTCGTCATGATTCAATCTTAGGCACTATTCAGTTTAAAATATAGCAACGTAATTATTGATTTAAAAACTACTATACCGTTAAGGCTTAATCATTAATGGATGTAAGTAGTAATGCTGACGTATAGACAGAAACAAATTATATATATATATATATATATATATATATATATATATATATATATATATATATATATATATATATATATATATATATGAAATTGTATCCATTAAGCAGTCCCCGTCCGTCCGTTCCCCCCCCCCCCCATCTCACATTCTCCATTTAAAGTATTGACCTCAGTCAAACCTGCAACCATTCAATTCCACAAAACTATCTTGCAATTTTTTTTTATTTCTACAGAAAAAGCGAGATCTAAAAGTGACAGCAAGGCCGCGTAAGTGACGTAACAAATCAATTCCTTATTTCAGACATTCCACGAGAGACGATGAAGTAAAATTCGCTAAATTAAATACTTAATTATTATTATTATTAGTGGTCTAGCGGTAGAGAGCTGGACTGCTAACCCGTAAGTCTCGAGTTCGAATCCGGGTTCAAGTCAGTAGACCGTCCCTGAGTCCACCCAACTCTGATGGGTACCTAACTCACGTTAGGGAAAGTAAAGGCGGCTGGGCATAGTGCTGATCACACTATCGCTTCATATGCCGAGGTCACAGAAACAAGTGAACTCCACTTGGCTTGCCCCATAGACCGTCAGGTTTGAAAGGGAAACTTTACTTTATTACCAATAATCCTTACGGCTGATGATGTTAGACTTCAGTAATTATTGTTACATCGGTACTTAAACGAATACTGTGGTCAGCACTGCGTCCTGATACTTACTTACTCTAAACTATTGTTGTGTGTTTAGTAGCTGATTTTACATGAGAAAAACTATAAATAAAGAATATTTACAAATATGCTTTCTATGCAAAAAAAACAGAGTTTCTTCCAGGCATCTCTTCCGGGGGGCTTCACCCTCCCCTACCGAAAAACGTCTTACCCCCCCCCCCCCCCCGAACGAAATATAATTTATATAGAAAATATATACTTTTACAAGTGCCGCCCCCCCCCCTCCCCGAAAAATTTAGTCCGGTCCGAAAATTTCAAGTAACACCCCCTCCCCCCCCCCCCCCCCCCACGGAGAAAAAAGTCTGAAAGAAACACTAACATAAAAATAAGATCAAAAATGTTGTTTTCAAATGTATTGTACAGATGCCTTGGCAGACTAGTGGTACCCAAACCCAACAAGCTGAAAGCACGACGGAGCGTTAGCTCTGGCAGGAAGAAACCCGCCCGCGTGTCCAGTCCTATCCACGACATGCCTACAGTACAGTACCACCACATCAATGAAGAGACCTTCTCAAAATCTTACAGCCCGCGAGTTTTTGCTGGTTTTAAAACACACAAGACCTTCAGCCCTCAAACCAAAATGTCTCAGTCGACCAAACAGTGTTCTGTTAGCCCGTCAAAAAAGGAATCGATGAAGCTGAAACAGGTGAAAGTAACTCACGGTAAAAATGTTGTTGAGAAACATACGCTGTCAAGTCCCATAAAGCATAAAAATTTCATCCCGGATTTCAGTTATTTGCAGAACAATAGACCGAACAGGTTTAATGCGATATCTCAAGACAAAAACGGGAGGATTAAGGTCAAGACGAACTGGTCCGCTTTCTACAGCACTACCGAGACGGCGCATCCCAAAGTTTTGAAAAAAGTGGATAATACTTCACCGAAAAAAGCCATCTTCACTATGTGTAAAACGGAGACCACAGTTCAAAAGCCGAAGAAGAAAAAGAAGGCGAAAGGGAATCAGCTGCCATGCGATATCTCAACGAATAAATGCACTCCGCATTATGCCGTGTCTCAGGATTACATAGCTGTTCAGTCGTACCCTGCCAGACAAAACAGAGGAATCTTAAAAATCGTTGAGCCTATCAAACCCACGGCGTCGATCGTCAATTCCGAGGAGTACAGCCGGGAGAGTTGCAATATCCGAAAGACTGCAACGCCGGTTCTAAGTTCTTTAAGAGGACAAGGAGCGTTTCGCTCGTACAGAAATACGAACCAGTTCAGCCGTGTCGCGGACTCACGGGCGAGTCAATGTTATGTCGAGGAAGAATTTGTGTCTGACGAAGAGAGCAAGGATTCCATCGGCAGGGAGTTTGAAAGCTATATCCGGTGTAGTGGTACACGGACGTCAGATTCCAAAAATGACCTGGTTAAGAGCGATTCCCAAATGACGTCTAACTTGGAGAGCCTGCAGTGTATGTATCCCCCAAGCTTGTCTCGTAGTCAAGCCAACGACGCCAACGAAAACATAGGCCGGCACAATACGAAGTTTCTAGGTGAGCGAGGGACGAGCAGTAATGACCAAAGTAGTTTTACCGGGAAGGCTATGGGGTTCGGGTTAGACGACAGCGATGAGAAGAAAAGGCAAGTGTTGAACCTTTACTCTTTTCCGAAACTTTTTCGACGCGGGAGCTCTGAGCTTAATAACACAAACTACATAAGATTTCAATTAAATGAAGTAAAATCTGACAACGCTGTGGAAACAAATCATGATAAGTGTCCATTGAATTGTAAAACTAGTAGACCCATTGTCAATGCTCATCCACAGACAGATGTTAACAGGGAATCTTCACATAAGAAAAGTAAAAATGTTTTCGATTTTACCAACAAATCTCAAATGACACAACAGCCGATAACGAGTGACACAGTTATAGAAATGAACAGAAATAATTTAGACATCGCGAAGTCAAGTCAAGGCAAAGTCCAGTACGATTCGTCTTCAAAAAAGTGCAATGGTCAATTCTTGGCTTCACCAAAGAAACGAAACGAAAACTCATTCGCGTTTAACGAAAAATCTTGGACGCAACCTTTCATCAATGTAAACGAATCTAAGAAAACACCGAAGTCGGGTCAGTTTGAAAACAAAGGCATCAATTTCTTCAAGGCCAATAACAGTACACGCTGGCTTGAGACTATTGGACTTAAGCTACCAACTGCTGCTCAGGCAGATGGAGCTGACAGTACCAGCATTCCACAACTTGAGATACAGAAGATAAAGAATCCAGCCAAAGAGATGCGGGATAACATTAATAGGGAGAAAACTTCCGTCACCCCTATTCACAAAACAAAAAAAGAAGAGCCTCTGCCGCTCTGTCGTAAATGTAAGAACGAAGACCAATCGTTTACCAGTCAGTATATCGATAGCTCCAAGTTCCATCACGACAGCGGAGCTAATGTTGAGAAAGCTGTAGGTAGCAGGAGGCCTCTTCCTAGAGATTCACAGCAAGTTAAAAATGACACTTTGGTTAGACCTACTTGTCCAACAGCTGGTGTTTTTCGCGTGCCGTCTTCAGAGCGCCATGAACCAGATCGTCCTTGCGAGGTACAACAGCCTAAGGAAAAAAAAATTTGCCAGAGAAAAGATCAGCCTGAGACTACAAGATTCGTTCTGAATCATCCCGTCCAAAACGAACATAAATTTGTTTTCAAATTCGGACAGAATAAAACAAAGACGACCTTGCTCGACCAAGAACAGAATAAACAGAAAGTTGATGACGCCGAGTCTGATCAGAATGTGATGAAACAGAAACGAGTGAATATGATGGTACCAGAGCAGCATAAACGAAGGTTAACTGAATCCGGGTCTGATAAGAATGTGATGAAGCAGAATCAAGTGAATATGATGGTACCAGAGCAGCATAAACGAAGGTTAACTGATTCCGGGTCTGATAAGAATTTGATGAAGCAGAATCAAGTGAATATGATGGTACCAGAGCAGCATAAACGAAGGTTAACTGAATCCGGGTCTGATCAGAATGTGATGAAGCAGAATCAAGTGAATATGATGGTACCAGAGCAGCATAAACGAAGGTTAACTGATTCCGGGTCTGATAAGAATTTGATGAAGCAGAATCAAGTGAATATGATGGTACCAGAGCAGCATAAACGAAGGTTAACTGAATCCGGGTCTGATCAGAATGTGATGAAGCAGAATCGCGTCAACACGATTGTACCACAACGCAACAAAGATAGGTTAAATGAAGCCGTGTCTGAACAGAATGGTATAAAACAGAACAAAGTTACCTTGATGGTACCCGACCAGAGCAGGCAAAGGGTTAACATTGTTCAGCCCGAGCTAAACAGATCGAACTTAAACGTTTTTGGATCTGTGCATTTTCAACACATGTCTAAAACCGAGCCTCCTACACCCAAACATTTAAATGAACCAAACCACTCTGAAGATAGAGCCAGACATCAGCAACCCGAGCCACACCAACACCACATGCAACCCAAGACAACAGCCTACTTCAGTGACGAGTCTATGAGTGAAGTAGAGACCTTAGAAGATGGCGTCAGCAGGACTGAGACGTTTGATAATGGCCATGACGATTACTTTCACAGTCATCACGCAGCAAGAACAACCAATGATCGCGTTGACAAGGACCTCTCCGACCGATACCACATGCATCAGCCCGCTACAAATATACGAGAGGTGCACGGGTTTAAGAGAACAGAACCTCAAATTGTACACAGACAATCAGATGCCAGAACCGCTAGCAACTCTAGGAATGACGGGTCATGTAACAGAAACCAGCATCTACCGGCGATCTATGAGTACGGTAGTTTTAGTCGCGACGAGATGCCGGAGAGAACAATACGGTATATCAGAGAAGATTCTGTCATCACCAACTCCAATAGTGTGTCACAGGATTCCCCGAGTGAGCAGAAATACGAACTGGAATCTGCCGAGAACACGCACGTGCGACATTGTCTGCCAACGTATGATTCAGGCGGCCAAAATATTGATAAACCTCAGAAACGACACCAGCCTATCCCTAAACACACAAATTCTAAATTTTTCAAAAGTAAAGAACATTCGCAGCAGGAAAATGTATCGAAACAGTGGCAGAAACAAGCAAACGACGGGACGAAGAAATCGATCAGTCTGATATCAGTAGGGCACATGGTGTCTGAACTCACGTCAAGAATTAGCAATAAACGCGTCGAGGTTCGCTCTCCTAATGAGGAACATTACGAGAAGCCTAGCCACAAACACTGTCAAGTCTTGCGGGTCAAGCCAAAACCAGAAGCCCCTGTTCAGCCCACTGTAACGCATAAAGAGACACCGCAGATTGTTCTGAAAATCTCTCACGAAGACTCAGTGGAAAGTAGAATGATTCAGAGTTGGGCGGATACGGAAAAGAAAGATGAATACATCAAGTACAGACGTGTTAAAAAAATCCGCCAGCACCGTCATGAGCCCTACAGTAAAGTGACAAGAACGAGTAGCGAGAGCACCACGACGCCCAGCGGTTTAGGCACCTACCCTATCCAGAACAAAAACAACTGCAGCCCATCCCGTAAAGGGCGATACGTTGTTGGCCCCAAAGTGGATACGCAGTTGTTCGACAGCAGTGACCTCTCACGCACGTTAGAGAGTATCAGCAACGCCATCACGGAAACTAGACCGTTGTTGAGTAGTGGGGATGTACCACACCAGGTCAAAGTACACAGTCACGGTTTCTTCGCTAACAAAGACGCAAGTAAATCAAGCAACGAAAGTAAAGACTTGCCGTATGGTTTTAGCTATGATCGCGTTGAAACCCGGGAAAAGAAACAAACGTACACACAGGAGCAGCGTCGTACCTTTGACCGCCAGCCATATGAAATGGAGAAAAAAGACGCACACTTGCAACATAAATATGAAGTGCCTTTTTCATTTTTTAATGATAGCAAAAGTTCGTCAAAAGCCGTAACTAGTAGGCCTACTTTGATAGACAATAATCGTCAGGAATCGCAAGGCTTAAAACCAAATCAATTTAAGTTATCGTACAATTATCCTCTAAGTCAACTGAACACAAATGATCAAGATAATGGGACAGATAGCTATTCCAGTGTTATGCTCTTGAAAAGTGAAACTGCTTGCAATGATGTCTCCTCTTGTCCAAAAAGTAGCGGAATGAAATCTTCCAAAATGTTTACCTGGTCGCCTCCCTTGACACAAAGTCACATGACCCAAACGGAAGTGTCTGAAATATGCACGAATGTGGGCGTTCAGACAAGCCCCCCTCCTACAGGGGTGGACGTCCAGACAAGCCCCCACCTCGGAGGATACTTCATGAAGGGTAAACCTATCTACCGCCGCAAGAACTTAAATGCGGTGTCTAGACTTCAGCGAGATCGCAGTCGGAATTCAAAAAGCTTACGTTCTTCACGCTACAGGCAGCCAAGCACCAACTCTCCATTCAACACGACCGTAGATGCTCTAACAAAGCTAGTGGCGAAATGGTTACAGGACAATTTTTGTGTCGTCAATAAACAGACAACAGCGAGCAATAGCGTCGACACCAACGCCATGAAAAGCTACGCGAAAGACAACGATACTTCGAACATAATGACGTCAGATTGGACCACGGAATCCCAGCCCGTCGTAAACGTGTTAACGAAACCAAAGCCCGACGCTGTACTGAAAGATAGAGCAGCTCAGCCGTTAGTTCAACCCGCAGCTGAAGACATCAAACAGGTGAAAATACCTGAGCTCAAAGAGAAGACTGATCATTCGCGTGTGGGGGCAGCACAAGGTAAACCACGATTCACCTTCAACAGCGTGTCTCTATCAGGAATAGACAATAAGTCAAAAGGCCAGCATCGTGAAGATACTAAAAAAATAGAAATTTCGACTAAAGGTAGAGACGAGCAGAGACAGGAAGTGGTGCCAAGAGAACCTGTTCCCTCAACTTCACAACAAACAGAAGAGTCCCAGAGTCCCCGTCATACAGGGTTGGATACTACACAATCATCAGTGCTTCATTTGTCCGAATCTACCAAGTTTGACGAAGAAAGTGGCCCGTCTACAAAGGTATCCGAGCTCAATCAACTCTGCGTGACGCGGCCGTACTGGAAGAACGCCAACATTGATGAAATAGATAGGCGAGTCAAACGCGCTCTGCGTATAAGGGAAGAGCTACAGATGTCACGCTCTAGAGCCTGTACGACCGCCATGTGGTCTGCGTCAGAGTCGAATAGCGTCGTGGAGCGGCCAGTACCGGTCGTGGAGCGGCCAGTGCCGGTTGTAGAGCGGCTAGCACCGGTTGTGGAGCGGCCAACACCGGTTGTAGAGAAAGTCGTACCGCTCACAGGATTCCGTTTCACTGCGTTTGATCAGGGCAACAAACAGAATACAAAGACAGAAATCCCCACTGGGGGTTGTAGGCCTAAGGAAGTTGCCAAACACACGAATGAGACGAAGTTGAATCTGCCAAAACCTGTTATAAATAAAACACCCTACGAGGAAGACAAGGAACGTGCGGGGAATTCATCGAATAACATTAAGGCTAGAACCAACTTCAGTACTGTTGTAAGAAAAAACGACAGCGTCAAGAAACGGGAAGAGTTTTCGAGATTAGAACGGAGTGCTTCGGTCATTGAAGATCCAGTCAGTGAGATCGAGAACATTCCAGGGAGGCCTTCCAGTGTGCATACTTCAAGCGTGAGTAACAGTGCCCAAAACGCCCTCAAGCGTGGAAGAATGAAAGAAAAGAACTCCCCGCCGACTAAGATATCAAAAGTAGAAAACGCCCCACTCAGCAGTACGCCTAAACTTGTCGGCGAGTTGGTCCATAGCCTGCCGAAGGTTCCTTTGTTTTCTTTTGTTGAATGGTTCATCGAAACTTCCGACCCGAACAATTTTGTCATCTCTGACCGATCGACTAGTTCCTCAGGGAAAGAAAACGGAGAGCTGAGCTATATCGAGAACACGGGGTCGCCGACAGATGAACTCAGCTACTACGTCCAGCCTCGGTGTAAAGACGGCGCGCAGCAAAAAGGTGAGCAGGTACACCCCGATACCCCGTCCACCGCCACCTGTCCTGTGTCGTGTCGGACTGTCGGAGATTCAACCCCCGTCGGTTCTAGAACCCCCACAGTCGTGAGCAATCAGGTCCTCAACGAGCACAGGTACGACGTGAAGCATCAGCCGCCCCACCATCAGAATGAGAAGAAGCTGAACGACGTCAACCAAAAAACCCAACCGGCGAGCACTTTTACCAAAAACCTCCCCCCTGTTGGTCACCTGGATGAAACGCCTGTCCTTAAGAGACGAGCCGCGGTAGTCAAGCCACAACCACCCAGCTACCAAACCACAGGCAGTTCGCAAAACACCTCGGAAAATAAATTCAACTTGTTTCTACGTTCAGAGTTTGATCCTCCAACCCCTGATCCCAATACGTCCAACGACCAGTTCTCTGCCGTAGCGACGCCGAGAGATAATCCTAAGCATGAAGGCTTTAAGACAGCTCCAGGTTTCCGGACCCCTCAAACTAACGATTCCCCCAGCTCAGCCGGCACTAAAACCGGCGAGTTCTGTGGTGTCTACTACAACGACGACGACAAGGACAACACGTTTTCGAACCTGGTCCACCGAGGGCTGCCCTGGGCGCTAGACAGCACCGCGGATAGCGCGACTGATGAGACGTACAGCTGCAGCAGTCAGCAAAAGATAGGGGTCAAGGACACTAGGAATCACGAGGCAGCCGCGGAGACGTTTGGGCCTGGGGTACGTCACATCCTGATGAAACTTCGGGAAACGGGGTTGGGCGACGACCTGGGTTCCACTCAGCACGATCACATGAGGATCACGTTACGTAAATCCTCTGACGTCACCGGCATCATTGCCAAATTTCAAAAAGACGAATCATGAATGGTGTTTGAACAATGTTCGTCAATCTTTGTTTAGATATACAATGACTTTGTATTGTTTAGATATGCAATGACTTTGTATTGTTTAGATATACAATGACTTTGTATTGCTTAGATATACAATGACTTTGTATTGCTTAGATATACAATGAATTTGTATTGCTTAGATATGCAATGACTTTGTATTGTTTAGATATACAATGACTTTGTATTGGGACTCCCTGACTAATGTTTTGAGCTACTAATGACTTAAGTGACTTCGCTAATTTTGACCGACGAATCACATTGATTACATACGCTTGCTTATATTTACACAACTGCCTCATTATATTTGATATTTTTATAAACATGTGTTTTTTAGGAAATATTTAACAAGGACATTTTAAGTTTTATTTTACAGATTATCTTTATTTTTAATGTTGTATAGATCTATTGCTCATATTTATTCATAACAATAAAGTTATAAATTGATAACAAAGCCTGTTATGTTTACATTTAGAATATACAAACACTATTGTTGTTAGAATGTCTGTTTTATTCATCTAACGATCTTAAATGATAATGGGTTTCAGCCCAAAAAATGGCGAATGCCTGACCAGGAAAGAAACAGGTGGATTATTACGAACTAGTAAAAAAAATCGTTTGCTAAAGTTAATTATTAAGTAAGCTGAATTTACAATTTGTTTAGAGTGTGAATAAACTTTAATGAGACCGACAGCACTCGTGATATGCTGCATATATTTTCATTTAGCTTAATTACACTCATCAAAAGTGCAGCTTACACTAACTTAAATAAATGGTTTATTTTAACAAGGCAGCAATTAGAAGTGCTAGATGATATTCTGACCACAGATCAGGGGCGTAGCGAGGGGGGGTGGTGCGGACCGCACCGGGTGACACCAAGGCAAAAAATAGAAAAATATATAGAGATGGCGGGGGGGGGGTGCAAATCGAAAACTTGAGGGGGGGTGCAAATCGAAAGTTTGAGGGGGGGAGTGCAAATCGAAAACTTGTCCCCGGGAAGGGTCGCTACGCCTCTGGGGGGTGACACCCGACCTCGCTACGCCACTGACATAGACCAAGATGAACGATGCAGCACGTGATGTTGTTCATTCACAACGGCAAATATATTTGTTTGATGGTCCAAATCTTGATAAGCAGAGCGTTTCCAGTGGCTCGATTTTTAACAGAAGGGAAGCAACTTTGAATCTCTTTATTAGGAGTATTCTCCCTTTTAAAAGTTCTACTTGGCCGAATCGGTGTTTTGTTTCTTGAAGTGTCTTTGTTTATATGTGAGAGGGTCAGGGCAGTGGGGGGGGGGGGGGGGGGGGGGGCAGGGGGGGGGGGCGGGGGAGACATATTTCCCCGGGCGCCGACCTTAGGGGGCGCCAAAATGGGTTGGGAAAATAAATTGAAAGGTTGAGGGGGGGTGCAAATCGAAAGTCTGAGGGGGGGGGGGGTGTAAATCGAAATCTTGAGGGGGGGGGGTACAAATCGAAAGTTTGAGTGGGGGGTGCAAATCGAAATCTTGAGGGAGGGGGGTACAAAATCGAAAGTTTGAGGGGGGGTGCAAATCGAAATCTTGAGGGGTGGGTGCACATCGAAAAGTTTGTCTCCGGGCGCCGGGTAGGGTCGCTACGCCTCTGGGTCGGGGGTCCGTGTTTGAGTTTATGTCAGTGGGTCAGGACATAATGGAGCTGGGGTATATGGGCCTGAACATATGGGCCTGAGTATTATGGATATGTGAACTATGGTCAGCGTATAAAAGTTAGTGTGCATTACATGGGAAAGTGTATCTAGGTCTTTAAGAGGTTTTTGCAGTGTTTCTTCCAGACTTTTTTCTCCGAGGGGGGAGAAATTTTCGGGGGGGGGGGGCGGTAGACTTTCTTCGGGGGGGGGGGGCGGGACACTTAAAAGTATATATTTTCTATATAAATTATATACATTTCATTTCGTTCGGGGGGGGGGCGGTAAAAAAATTTCGGGGGGGCCTGGAACAAACTCTGGGTTTTTGTTTAAGTTTCTAGAGCAGGTATATCCATTTCCAATATCTAACTCCCCAGTATTGTTAACACATAAAAGCATTATGCTCTAGTTTGTTTCGATTACCAATAAACATGGTTGTTTTTATATTTACCAAGTTAAAAGCGAGAAGTCGACCCCCACCCTAAAAATAAATTCTGACTGGTTGGTCAAATCCAGTATACGCACATTGCAAGGGGTCAATTTTTACCACGGGATAACATGTATGATAGATACACTTAATCTTCTTCTTCTTCGTTCTTAATTTTTAGTGGTTGGAAGGGATCGTGCCTTATCTGCCAGAGGGTTTGAACTCGAGACTTTTTCCGAATTAATCAGCCATGACCTTTTGCCGACTCGACCACAATTAAAGATACGTGTCAACTGGTTGTGCGCCATTGAGGCCATTGACTCCGATTTCAGCCTGCTTTTCTTTTTAGATTTGCTTCCATAGTCTTTGTCCAACCAATAACAAACTACAAGGCAGCAGTTGTTTGATTTTGGAGTTGTCTCTCCTAGAAGAGTGGCTGTCCCCAGCTAACGAGCCTCATCTGCCCGAGGGTTCGAACTCGAGACTTTTCGGTTTAACAACCATGAGCTTTACCGACTCGACCACGCCGACCCATACACTTAATGATAGATCAGTATTGCAGTGACAATTTCTCAACATACATTTTTGTTTCTGGGCTTAGGTCGCCACCATGTTAGCTTATGAATTTTCCGTCGAGGATGGGGCAAGATCAAACTAACCCGTCAATGAAACTGTTGCATCCCCCTAGTGATTAATTAAGTCGAGTTGTATGCCTTTTTATTTTGTTCAATTAATTACTATAAATACACTTGCATTTATCAAAATCTTACACAAGTCGTACATTGATACGATTACAATTGATTTATTTTTTAAATCTTGTCAATTTACCATCAACTACGTTGTAAATAAAATTATCAAGAGGATTGATAAAACTATCTAGAGTCTAGAGGATTGATACATAAGTTAAAATAACCTGTAAGGGGTCATCCATAAATGACGTCACGTTTTTTTTTGACGATTTTTACCTCCCCCTTCCCCTCAGTAACACATCGCCAAAAATAGGCAGACCACCCCCCCCCTTAAAATGACGTCACATCTCAGCCTACAACTCCCCCCCCCCCCCCCCCCCCCTTCAAAATTGCTTTTGAATTTTTCTTAAAAAAAGCGATATTTTTCCAAAACCTGGTAAACAGAGTATTTTAATCAATTCCTATTACAATTTATTAAAACAGTTTTCAATCGCGAAATAACGGCTAAGACCAGTTTTCTAACATGCTTTTTTATAATGCGAAAATGTGACGTCACACCATCTGACCCCCCCCCCCCCCCCTCCCCCTCATCACACATCATCACAAAATTACGGATCCCCCTCCTCCCTACAAGTGTGACATCACCTATGGACGACGCCTTACACACAGAAACAACGCGGCGAGCACCAATTGATCTATTCAAAGTGAATTAGATCTAGTCTTATATCTGTATGGATTAAGTTATCAGTATAATGAACACGTCCTTTATTCAAGTTTAAGCAGGACAGTTTGACTTTATCTGGCTTCCTGGATGAACGTGTATGTGTAATTATTCGATATGCATGTTTAATGATTGAAAATGAGGTTATATTCTCAACATAGTTATCGGAATTGGTAGGAAACAGAACTCTTAATTTTCTTTTTTCTTTTTTCGTGTATACAAATGTATAATAATTTTTTTAATATTATTGCAGTATTATCGTAATTTTTTAGACAATATTTTTGTAAAATTTTTGTTAGTAGATATATCTTCAATTTTTAGAATTTTAATTTAAATTTACTTTATTGCTATTCTTAAAATCTGCCGAATAACCATACCTTTTTATTAACACAACCTGTATTATTTAGCAGCTCTTTAATTACATTATATATTCCTTCGTTTCAATTATCTAGAGACTTGATAAACAAGTCGAATTTTAAAATATTAGCTATTTTCGGTACACATAAAGACGTAATACAAACATTTGTAAAAAAAAATTTAAAAAAAATTAAAATATTAGCTAAACTTAATTTTAACAGGTCTTCTTATTTGAAGAAGATCGTTTACATTTTGCATAAAGCGAACAGCCGCTGTCAATTACAAGGGGTAAAAAAACAATATCTAAAATAATACTTATTTTATTTAAATTCATTCGTTCACCAAATCACTATTTTAATTCAAGGTTTAAAAAATGCATTGTTGGAAAATTTCGATTTGACTTTACATACCATTGTTCACTGCGTATCAGCTTTCTTGGGTGTTTGTTTCAACAAATCAGAAATATATACCTTAACGCTTTTATTATTTTTGGAATTATTTTTTTTATTAATAAAATACATTTAATCAAATGGTCTGTGGAATGGGTTAGAAAATCTTTTTTTTTTCTAAAGGTTGATCAAATTAGATTAAAAATATTAACTACATTTAATCTGGTACGAATGATTATTGTTATTTTTATGTCAGTAAAACTTTTAATTATTTAGCTTTATTATGTTGCATTAGAATATTGGAATATTGTTCACTTAGAACAATGCCAATTAGCCAATTTATATTTGTATTTAATCAGGTCTACTGTATGTAAATTTAACTAAATTCATTGCAATTATTTAAATACAATAGTACGTTTTATAAGTATAAATAATATAATATCATTTCTAAAAAGTCTGAACAAATATATTGTTTTAAATTTTAAATCTTATTTTATTATTAAGCATTTTTAAAGCTGTGTTATAGGAATACCCTATAAAGAAATATATTTGGGCATTCGTCCCATTTTGGCGATGTCGCATTTGGGCAAGCGTCCGTCCGGCAAAACAGCCAACAGGCAAACGACATTCGAGCAAGTGTCTTTCGGGAACACGTCCAACTCCCGAGGTATCTATCTATAAACATTCAATACTCTTTAGGGATTCTCGATGATGGCAGCAGTGGCGTAGCGAGGTCGGGTGTCACCTGGTGCGGCACTTAATGGTGTCACCCCCCCCCCCAGAGGCGTAGCGACCCTTCCCGGGGTCAAACTTTCGAGTTTTCGATTTGGACCCCCCCCCTCTCAAACTTCCGATTTGCACCCCCCACTCAAGTTTTCGATTTGCACCCCCCCCCCCCATCAAGTTTTTCTCTATATATTTTGCTTTTTTGCCTTGGTGTCACCCGGTGCGGTCCGCACCCCCCGCCCCCTCGCTACGCCCCTGGATGGCATGACACCTTTGTATCGTGAAGCAACTTATAAGATTCACTTTCAAAAAACATAATTATGACTGGAAAAAATACAACATACATATTTATCCTATTTTTTGGATCAACTATTTTTACAGTATCAAATCACATTTTTATTTAATAGTTGTGCCCTTATAAGGGGGTCGATGTAGTGGCGTATCTAAGGTGGTACAGGGAGGGGGGTTGATGTAAT